TCAGAATATATAATTGTCCCTCCAAAAAATAATTCTAGAGTGATGAAAAATTTAAAAAACTTATTTTAATCACAGTGACAAAATGAAGTCTGTGGGAATCTGGACATCCCTAGTCTCAATCTTGCATATTCCTTGAGAAATTCTGGAAGGATTCTTCAGGATCCTGAATCCCAAGGATCTTGTCTCGAATCCTAGTAATTCCTGTTTCCAGGATTTTTCAAGGTGGAACAGGATCCTGTTCAGGATTCTTCAAGATCTTATCAAGGATCCTCTCAAGACTATAAGAAGGAATTCTGCCAAGATTTTATCACGTTTTCGTTAGGATCCGAGTCACATCTTTGTGCCAAGATCCTACCAGGAATGAGAGCCACATAAGACGAGGATCCTGGAAAGAAAATAACAAGACTTTTGAGCGAAACTCTTCGAGAACAAGAATTTCGAATGGTTAAAAAATATAAGTATGATCAAGATCTTGAGCAGTAAATACAAGGATCCAATTAGGATCTTTTCAGGTTTACGTCCAGAGACTGTTCAAAATTTGATCTTTCAGGATCCTGCTAGGAACCTAGCAAGAATAAATGGAATGATTTCCAGACGTTTTAGCCAAGTTCAGATCAGGATCCTTTCATGACTTTGAAATCTATAGATCACAATAGAATTTTAATAGAAATGTTGAGCGAAATCTCAGCAAAAATAAATATAAGAGTTTTCAAGGTGTTATTGTGTTTTTATTCAGACCACGACAAAAATCTCAGAATTGAAAAGTTACTGGCATTTTTATCCTGATTTTGATTTAATTCTTTCATAAACAAATAGAACGATGAATCTTAATACATCTTAGAAGAAAAATTTTCAGATCTCTTTGAAATTTACATAAAAGTCATTTTAAGATTTCAACTATAGCGATGAATTCTTTTTTAATCTTATCAAGAAAACAAAAATTGAAAATCAATAAGTTAGAGTGTTAATTAGAATTTAGTCATTTCATCATCAAATTTTTTCGTTAAATTTGTAATTTTAATCAGCAGCAAATCTTTCCATAAAACCTGCTTATAGTTTTGATTATGTTCAAAAAACATCCAAATATATTTTTAAATCAAATTGAAAATTAAAAAATTTAAATATAGTTTTTAAATTGAATTCAAATGAAACAAATTATAAACGTATTTTTAAAATCTCATTAAAATTAAAAAAAAATGGTCCAAGTATATTTTTAAATGGAAATTAAAATTAAAAAAGATACCAAATATATTTATTTAAATCGAATTGAAATTAAAAAAAAAATAATAAAATTTCACCGACAAAAAAATATTATAAAATAATTTGTATCTACATAAAATTCAAATAGAAAGTTACATTAAAGTCCGAAATTAAGAAACTGAACGTTGAAGTAACATATGACATGACACATCCAGCTCAGTAAACTAATCGGTATGTATACTGCAGGTGTAGAGATGAATTCTCTATGGGTTTATTTCTTTTATATTCTATTTAGAAAATCCTGCAAAGATCCTATCAAGAAATTGATAATATCCTCAACGAAACCTAACTGAATCCTACAGAGATTCTTTCAAAAAATTTGATATCATCATCGAGGAAACCTAATAAAATCCTTAAAGATGTGATGAGAAATCTTTTTTTTTTTCAAATTTTCAATTATTGAAATTCTCAAAAGATCCTAGAATTCTGTGACTACACATTTTGTTCAGGATTTAGTCGTTTCCTCAGAATAAAATAGCGAATCCTGGGAGGAACCTGATCATATCTGTCAAGGATCTGGTGCCGAAACATCAAAGATTTTCCCTAGGGATGAGGGTGACTTCATTGTACTCAATTTATTTTGGTAATTCATAAATGAAAACTAAAATATAAATATATAAAATGATACAAAGTTCCACGTGCTTTCAGAATATGATGCTATTCTTTTAAAAATACGTTTTTATAGTGACGATATACTCAAAATACCCATTCCAGCTTCCCTAGAAAAAATCTTTGATGTTTCCGCGCCAGATCCTTGACTGATATGATCAGGATCCTGCAAGGATTCGCTGTTTGTTTCCTCACGAAACGACTAATTCCTGAAAGAAATGCATAGCGTCGGAATTTTAGGATCCTAACAAGTTTACCATTGTCTTTCAAATCAGGATTAAGCCAGGAAATCAATGATTCCTGAAAGAAGTATGTAGCCATGGTTCTTAAGTATCCTGTCAGGATTTTTATAATTCAAAATTGTAAAAAAACAGATTCCTGATTACATCTTTCACGATTTGACTAGGTTTCCTGGACGATGTTATCAAATTTCTTGACAAGATCTTTGTAGGATTTGGCTAGGCTTCGTTCATGATATTATCAGTTTCTTGGCAGGATTTTCTAAGTAAAATATAAGAGAAATGCACACAGAGTATCGATCTCTAAACTTTCAGTTTATATACCGATCAGCTTACCCAGCTGGATATGGCATGTCATTCTAAATCATTTCAACGTTCAATATGTTAATTTCTTACATTAATATAAACTTCTATTGGAATCCTATGTGAATATAAATTATTTCTAAAAATTCTGAAAATGTAATACCATTTCAGATATTTGTTTTAATCGGTGAAATTTTACTGTTTTTATTATTTCAATGCAATTTAAAAAATATATTTGAAATTTTCTTTTATTTCCATTTGATTTGAAAAAATTGTTTGGAATATTTTTTTATATCAATTTGATTTAAAAAATATATTTGAAATTTTTTTCGAACATAATTAAAACTATAAGCAGTGTTTATCGAAAGATTTGCTGCTGACTAAAACTATCTATTTAACGAAAAAAGTTTTATGACGGCTAAATTCAAATTAACACCATAGTTTAATGATTTTCAATTTTCTTTTCCTGATAAGATTAAAAAAGAACTCTTTGCTGTAGTCCGAATCTCAAAACAGCTTTTATATAAACTTCAAAGAGATTTGGAAAATTTTTTTCAAAGATTTTTAAGATTCATTCTATTTCTTTATGAAAAGAACCAAATCAATATCAAAGTAAAAGTGCCAATGGATAATTTACTTCATAGAATTTTGTCGTGTTCCGAACAAAAACACAGTAACATCTTGAAAAATCCTTCTATTTATTTTTGTTGCGACTTTGCTAAACATTGGTATTGAAATTCTGTTGTGATATATAGATCTACAAATTTTGAAAGGATCCTGATCTGGTGAACCCAACTCAAAACCTGAGAGAATCGTTTGAGTCATTCTTGCTAGGTTCCTGACAGGATCCTGGAAATTAAATTTTAAATATTACTCTCTAAACATAAACCTGGAAAGATCTTAACTGGCTCCTTGTGTTTTCTTATCAACATCCTGATCATATTTGTATTTTTTAAAAGCATTCAAAATATCTGTTCTTGAACAGTTCCGCTCAGGATCCTGATCGAAGTTTAACAGGATTTGTTAGTTGAGGATTCTAACGGAGTATCTCCATATCAGGATTCAGAACAGATCTTGACTCAAACCTAATGAAATCTTGACGAAATCCTCACTATGATTTTTATCAGGATCCTGCATAGGATTGACAGTGAATCGTAGCAGGATTCTCCAAACTCAATTCAGAAAAAAATCTGAGCAAGATCTTGAACAAATCTTGGATCGAAGCCTGAATCAAATCTGACAGGATCCTTGCAATTTATGATTCTGAAAGATCCTTCAAGGGTGTCTCAGGAAATGGATATGGTTGAGCAGACTAAGCAGAAATCTGTAAAGATCTTTGGTAAACCTTTACATTTTCTTATCAAGATCCTGATTAGGATTAACACTACCTTGCAAAGTTTGGAAGCGTATATTCTTGAAAAGTTCTGAACAAGATTCTGATTGAAGCTTTGGGGGATTAGTCAGTTCCGTATTCTGATTGGTCTTGCTATTTCCTTGCCAAGATTCTCGTCTAATTTTAAAATGACTTCGTCTCATACAATGTTGGGGAAATAGATGCCCTACTGTCGTCTCTTTCGACTGGTGAAAACCGCAGCTCTCTAACTCTTTCCTTTCTTGAGTTATTCCAAAAATGACCGAGACCACTTTTTTTTAACAGACAAAAGTTGAATAGTTGAATAGTTGAACTTCAACTATTCAACAATTGAATACTTGAATAATTGAATAGTTGAATAGTTGAACTTCAACTATTGAATAATTGAATAGCTGAACTTCAACTATTCACTGAAGAGCTAGATTGAAAATGGCCAGATTCGGGCTACTTAACCACAACGGAAACTCTTGAATACAGCGTCTATATCCTGTCGCTTTGATAAAAGCATCAGAACTGTTGCCAGGAAACGTAGTCGAAGATAGCTACCGGAGGCAGGAACTGAGCTAGGATCGGTAGCCGAATCCGATTTAGGAATTCTACTTCCAGAGCGCGCAGACAAATCACTGGATCCTATCGTACATCTTTGACCTGGGTATTTCTGAACTAGAAAATCAGATCATCATCTAGCGAATAGTAAAAGTTTTCGAAATCTAAAAATACTAATTGTTTTTATAATTGAGAACAGTTCAGTACTGTTTAAAACAAATGAGTGACTCATTTCAATGAAATCTATACTCATTCCTACTTCACACGTTTGTTTCATTCCAGCACCACTACGTTCGAGTTGGACTGATATTCGTCCGAATGCAAAATGGAAACAGAATGGTCTCACTGTTGCTGGAGGAAATGGATACGGCAGTGGAATCAATCAACTCTATATCCCGCACGGTTTGTACGTCGCTGATGATCAAACTATTTATATTGCTGAATACCATAATCAGCGCATTATGCAATGGAAATGTGGTGCAACGACTGGCCAAGTGGTTGCCAGTGGAAATGGAACTAATCAGTTAAGCGGCTTATACGACGTGATTATCGACAAAGAGAGAGATAGTCTCATCATCTCCGATTCCAATAGAAGAGTAGCTCGATGGCCGCGTCGAAATGGCACTAGTGGAGAAATAATCATCTCCAACTGCCTGTGTGTGGGTTTGACAATGGATGAGAATGGATCTCTCTATGTCGTTAACAATGGAGAAGGTGAAGTGAGACGATATCGAATTGGTGACACTGAAGGAACAGTGGTTGCAGGTGGCAATGGAGAAGGAAATCGTCCAGATCAACTCTCTTATCCCCACTACGTATTTGTCGACCGAGATCATTCAGTATACGTGTCCGATACTGAAAATCATCGTGTAATGAAATGGGAAGAAGGTGCAAAACAAGGCATTGTTGTAGCCGGTGGTCAAGGACAAGGAAATAGTCTTACACAATTGAACAATCCTCGAGGAGTCATTGTCGATCAATTGGGCACTGTCTATGTAGCTGATTGTTATAATCATCGAGTCATGCGTTGGCCAAAAGGAGTCACACAGGGAAGTGTCATTGTCGGTGGAAATGGTCATGGAGCACAGCCGAATCAATTCAATAGTCCCATTGGTTTATCATTCGATCGACATGGTAATCTCTATGTCGTCGATAGTAGTAATTACCGAGTACAAAAATTTAATATCGAATAAGCTCAGTACGATGATTAACTTTTTCTTTGATTCTCTTTCTCTCACAAATAAATCGAGATAAAATAAAAAAGAATTCACCGCTATTCTATTTGCACGCGCGCGCGACCAGGAGCCATCCTGGTGGAGCCGTGGCGAGCGTAAAGTTCATGCACGTACGGGACAGACTCTCACCATTCACATCAGAGATGTGTCAAAGAGTCTGGTGCAGGCCCGGTCGTCTGGCACGGACATCAAGACAGTTCCTGATCGAGCTTTTAAGGACTACTCGGAAGTCCTTCATATAACGCGAAGCCTAATCTCAACGAGTATAACTCACCCTACCCTCTTACTAACACTCATTTTCTTTAGAGAAATCCTATTCTCATCTCAAAAGAAAAAGAAAATTATTTACTTTCTCTCTATGTTGGACGACGATGATAGTGTTGTTGATGATGAAGACGATACGAATATATTGATGGCTAAAAGAAAAGGAAAAAAATTTGATGAGCATCATAGAATTAAAAAGAATGAGATAACTTACCCCACTGTTATCTGTTTCATTGACCTCGAAAAAATTTTTGATCTAAAACGAAACAAAAGAAAAGAAAGAAGAAGCCACTTACAGTCTCTGACTTGTTCATGTCCACCTGAAAGAAATGAAACAAAAAAAATTAATTAAAAAAAGCTTTTACTTACTTGGAATATGCAATAGCTAAAATAAAAGAAAACCATACATAAAATAGATCAAAGGAGGATTTATCATCCTTCATATGACCAAAAAAAAAAGAAAAATTAAAAAAATTAAAACTAATACCTACATTTTTGTTATTATTTTGTTTGATATGATGCTGATGAATATTGTGTTGTCGAAGTCAATCTAAAACATAAGAAGGAAAGATTATTATTTGATTCAATAAATTGAATGATTTTTCGAGGGAAAATCATTCATATTTATATATCAAAAGACCATTTTTTTTCTCGTCGGAGAGTGATTACATGGCGATATTAATTAAGCTATAATCGGGACACGCACATACATTGAGATAAATTCAATTACAATATCTCAATGTATGTGTATGGATAAAGCTTAATTGATATATACAATGATAACATGAGCGATGACTTATGGGCGAGAAAAGGAAAAAACAATGAAAGAAAAAAAAAGTTGTTATTGTTCACATGATCAGTTATGAGTACGAAGCAGACGAAGTCGAACACACACGCGATACTCGAGTCTGTATTTATTACTTATTTATTTATGTTTTCGTTCGATAGAATAACAAGGCAAAAAGATTTATTACATATTTGAAGAGAAAATTTTTAACAAATAATTTGTGTTAGATTTGTTCTTGTAGCTGCACAAGAAACGATACTCAAATTACTCTTTTTGATATAATGAATGTCAATTTATTATGATTATTAAGAGTTTCAAATGCTTATTTTCACTATGATCATTAACTAAAGGAATAAGTAAATTATTTTAGAAACAAACAAAAAAATGTAATTCTTTTTAGATCCTCATTACGAATTATAGGAAGTGTTTTCTTCTGGAGAAAAAAAACAACATTCACTCTAACGAGATTGCATGGCATCACATTTATTGAAAAATTTGTTTTCTCAAGAACTCTTTTAACAAAGTGATACAAAATAATATTAGTTAAGTTTAGCAAAATGTATACCTCATCAAACATTTGCCATTTTTTTATTATTATATCGTTTTAAGAACCTTCTATACTACATCAAATACAATAGAAGATAAATAGTGGATCGTTTTAATCAACGTTATCGAAGTCAAATATCGAATATGATTTTAACTTTAATGAAATAATGTAACAATAACTTCATTTTTTTATACTTTATGATAAATTATACTGGCATTATTCTATATTAGCTAAATCATTGATAGATGAAACAAGAATTTGGTGACAATCAATTTGTCGTTGAAGTTGAGCACTTTTTGTGACACCTATTTGAAATGATTTGTTTTATAGTGAATTTTAAAAAAAAAATTTTATTTGCCATTTTACAATAATGTCATCAGAAATATTTAAACTACGTACAATAGGTAAACTATAAAGAAATAATATGATAAAATTTTTATTATTCTTTTACATGTTAATTTTCAGTTGTTTAGCTTGAATATACGTATAACGTTTTTGTACTTCAGGATGAACATGTGCTTTCGTAATTATATCAATTATTGTTGGTATTGTCTGACGAAGTTTAAGTAAATTTTATATTAAATACGAATCAACTTGACCATTGTCAACGGTACAAATACATATGACTGATAAAGAGAATATAGAATTGTTAGTAACTATTGAAAGTGATCGTCGAATAAGACAATGTATAAAACAACCTCGGATAACATAAGTAAGCATGGAAAAAATGTTCAGCGCAAAGCTTCTATGAAAATTTTTCATGGTAGCTTATTTGTAACTATTATTCTTAAGATTAAATGTGAATAATCAGAGTAAACACTCATTCTCAAATTACTTATTAAAGTTCTTATGATTTATTCTTAAAGATCATGGGATAAGAAAAAAATCTAGTTGAATTAAAAGTCTAGAAACTCAAATTATTAAAGAATGATTTTTCATTCATTTTACCAAATAGTTTTGTGTCAAAAAATGAATTATCAGTAGAAATAAAATTTTTCTATATGAATACGTTTTTTTTTTCATATTGAGTATATTTTGTTTTTTTTCTAACTTCAATCATCGATCGTTCTCTTCTATTTAATTGTGAATCAGATGTTATATGTTCTTCTTCAAAATAAGTACGTAAAAAATTAATATCTCCAACAATCATTGCAACAATTTTATTATTCATGGATTGAAAGAAGTATTACAATTTGTATATTTATTCTAAATGGTATTCGTGCCTGTGGTAGAAGTGAAAGTCTCACAACTACATCTTGATAGATCAAGGTTTTTTCATTATGATAAAAAATAGAAGAGTAGAATACAAGAAATGTTAAACTTTTGAGAAACGAAATATAAAAACAATTCTTCAGATATTCTCTGATACCTGAAAAATTTCTTCATCTTATTGAATTATTATTCAATTGTCTATTATACCAAACGAATTTATCATCATAATTCTTATATGTTATCATATAAGAAAATGTATTTAAAAATTCTAATTGATAATAACACATCGATTAGTGATTCACATTTCTGAGAAAAAAAAATGAAAATTCTTCACTTTAAATCCTACAAATAATGTTCTATTGATAAATTCTAGAAAGAATTAATTTATTTCAGGAATAAATTTTTTAAATAATTAAAATTATTTTCTTCATTTATTTACGAGAAAATTGTTTGAGACATGCATTCATTTAATAATTTATTATTTATACAACAGAATTTTATTATTCAATGAGATATTTTTAGGCAGTCATATGCATGATGGAACGTATCAATTTTTGACAATATATTATTATTATCTTTTCTATTGATGGAATAGTGAATGCTCTGAAAAATGTTGATTTTTACTTTTTAAATATATTTTTTCTTATGAAAAAGTTTAAAAATTTAAAACATAGTCAATCTGCAAACTGCACTTTTATGTTTTTCCAAGATATTATCAATTGGTTAAAGCCTTTTCTCGATAAAATTCGACATGAATTCATGTAAATTTTTCTGTTACGATTTACAAGAAAAAGAGTTGGAGCTGGCAGATGATAATGTTCACGTGAAATCAAATTTTTCAAAACTCGCATTTGGTTGTACCAAATTTGTTTACACATCTTCAAAAATGGATTTGAAATCTAAAAGATATTGATGCAAATATTCTGTCAGAAAAGTGGTTTTGTTTTGTATTATCACATTCTTGAGTTCACAAAAGAATTTTCTTGTTCATTTGCTTTTCGAAATTTTGAAATTTAAATAAGCGGATGTAGAATTTCATAATGAATCTTATGCTGTGTTTATAATTTCAAAAAATTCATCATCGTCTTTTGAATCCTTATCTGCCATGATTAGAGAATCAAACATTGTCAGTCTTTTAAAGTTTTCAATAAGACTATACAGGCTGGGCTATAACGAGTACCATGATTTTAAAAATTATTGAGTTTTCTAAATCAAATAAATACGAATGCAACGAGTATGTGTTACATGTTTGTAGCGAATGTATTATTTCTCTTTGCGAAACAGTTCATATTCTTGACAGTAAATTATTTTGTAAAAAAAAACTGATATATTTCTTTTCATACACAAAACTCTTGTAATAATCAGTTTTATGATCGTCATGAATTTCGATCAATTAACATTTAGTTAAAGAAAATCAGCCTTTCTTCCACTAATTTAATTCTAAACAGAGACGTTTTTTATTATCATTCAAAGATATTTATTCATAAGAAGACCCGATGATTGTTCCTTTTTTTCTTGTGAGCTGAGTGCTATTGAAATCA